GGTTTTAGGCTTAGGGTTTCGGATTTGAGGTGCTTAGGGGTTTAGTGAATTTTGTTTGAATTCTTGAAGCACAAGTCATTCGCGCCTGTGCTTCTGTGAAGCTACATCCCGACAGGGAGTCTGGTTGCAACGAAAACCTTGGTTGTCCAATACCCAACCTTTAAACTNNTAAACTTTTTGGGTTCTTATAATTCAATAAAGTTTAACCTTTTATTTGCCTGGGTTTTTGGAGAAGTAAGATTATTCAGATGCCAACATCAAATTTGCAGCCGCGGAAGAGGGCTTGGGGATTCAGGTAGCCAAGAGTATCTAGTTTGTAAACCCTGCCCTAAAGCCAAGCACTCGAGCAACCTCTGTTGCCTTGTGAGACGTGTCAGTTGCACCACTGGCTTCTCGCAGAATTCAGGGACCACCGATGCTATGAACCAGCTGGAGTTCAATTTGTATGGAGCTGGTTTAGCTAAAGCTGAACTCTGAATCCTAAACTCTAAACCCCTTTAGCCTTAAAGCTGATTTCTAAACCCTAAAGTCTAAAGCCCTTGAGCCCTAAACCTGATTTCGAAACTCTCGGGCCCTTTACTCTAAGTCCCTTTGGCCCTAAGCCTTAAGCCGGATTTCGAAACCCGTAGGCCCTAAAACTTTAAGTCCCGACAGCCCTAAACCTGAACTCCAAGCCGTGGGCTCGCAATGTGAGTATGGCCCAGCATAATGTTCAGAGTTCTGGCTCCGGGGCGCAGCTCAAGCTTTCGGACGGGGAGAGAAATGGGAGTTTCAGAAAATACAGATACAGCGCCAAAGATTAGACCCTATATGCCTTATAGATAGCATGTCCAACATGTGGGTAGTTCTCTACATTCGGGTCCCTTTTAAGGTCATTTTTATAAGGGCCCCGTACTATAATGGGGACCTAAGAAGGGACCCTAATTTAGAGAACTACCCATGTCACGAATCTCTCCAATCGAGTCGAAGTTCCGAGGCAATGCGCTTGGAACCTTCAGCCACTCGCCGAGATATGCCGAGATTTCGTCAAGCTTCGAGCTTTTCCGTGGCCTGAGGCTACAAGGGGGCGGCAGAGCACACGTTAGGCCACCGCCTGGCTGTTTGGGTTGAGAGCCTCGTCCGCATCTTCCGAGAGCCTGCAGCCCCTCAGCCCCCTAAATCCTAAACTCCATACTAGATTCGATAAGATCTTCTCTAAGGCCCTAGGGTTCTGTTAAGGAGCTTAGTTGAGGTGTCATGCTCGGATATACAGCTAAAAATTGAAAGATGCTTGGCTACTGGTAGTAACGTCAAGCAAGTTCGTGAAGAAAAAAAGCTCAGAGTGTCAAAGGATTTGGGTGCTGTGCTGCAACATCGGCCTGTGCACAAGCCTCTTGCCTTTGGAGTTTTGTGACATACGGCTTTGCGGTTCGTCTTCACGGGGTGCTTGCAGCAGAGGCCACACTCGTATTCAAACTGCGCGAAGGTGTTCGCCACATGACTGGTTACCCTTCAACAGTGTCGGCTTCATCACTACTATTCCGTTCATAAGGCTCCTCATCCTTCTCCCTATCACCGTGACCGTCATCATCCATCGCCGATCACCATCACCAAAAAGCGCCATCGCCACCATCACCATCACCATGCACATCACCGCCGTCAATGACCTCTTCGCCGTCATCCTACTGGAAATCGTCGTCATCGTTGTGATCGGGATCGCCTCCCAGGCTGCTGTATGCTGTCCCCCAGGTTCTAGATAGCACCACTGCAAATTCCTTTGGGCCAAGATATGATGGGTTTAGGGTTCAGGGAGGTTTAGGGTTTAGGGTTAGGGTATGACGGTCTTGCTCAGCTTCTTTTCATCACCGAGCGGCAAATCTTCTAGCTACTCCAATCGTTTCACTCCCCGGCTGTAACCCTCAAACCTTAAATGACCTCAGCATGTACGAGATTGCTTAAAAGAAGCGCCGAAGCCGTAAACCTAACGCCTTGAAAGACTTACTAAAATAGCCTTCCTGCAGATGGCTTCCTGTGAGTTTTCATAGTTCAGCCAGCGCTCCGGCTATCAAGCAAGTATGAGGGCCCGAGACGCAAACCCTAGACCCTAAACCCTAAAGGGTTTAGGGTTTAGGGTTTAGGGTTAAGGGTTTAGGGTTTAGGGTTTTAAACCCTAAGCCCCCACTCGAAGACCTTGTGGCGAAACTCTCACCCCCAAACCCTGCAACTATCACTTTCGGACCCGAAATCTAATTCAATGGAGGCTATCCATCCTTCTGGCAGACTTCGGGTAGGTACCCTAAACCCTGAACCCTAAACCCTAAACCCTAAACCAATCGAGGCTATCCCATCCTACACCAATCCTAAACCCTAAACCCTGACCCTAAACCCTAAACCAATCGAGGCTATCCCATCCTTTTGGGGGACTTCGGGTATGCGCTCTCACAGCAGCTGGGCTTTGCGGAATGGACATCTCGGCTGCTCCGATTGCAACATCGGTGCGGGAAGCGCTGAGAACTTGAAGCCTGAGATGGTAATATAGGGGCCTTAATATTTGGAATAGGGTTTTGGGGTCCTTTATGGTATACTTATACAATAAGGAAACCCCGAAAATGATATAGGTAATTATTGAGGCCCCTGCCTTACAGAGTTTTGGGTTTAGCAGGGTTTAGGGTTTAGGGTTTTGCAGGGCTTAGGCGTTTAAGGGTTTAAGGGTTTAGGGTTTAAGGGTTCCAGGGTTTAAGGTTTTAGGGGAGTAGGGTTTAAGGGTCTTTAGAGTTTTGGGGTTTTGGGGTTGGGGTGCGAGGTTCATCGTTCGGGTTCCTTCAGCTGAGCTTAATCAACCCTGCCCTGTGAACCTAAACGAAATCTGCCCCATGAACCAAACACCTCAAGCCTTAAGCCTTAAATCCTAAACCCTACACCCTAAGCCCTAAGCCCTAAACCCTTAACCCTAAATCTTAAACCCTAAGGCCTAATACCCTAAACCTGCGAGGAAGGCCTGCATGGCTGTGATGGTGGGCTGCATTTGTTGGCCGCTTTCCTGCGCGCCCTCCCTCGGCTTCCTGAGGCCACCGGGCGCTTGGCGTCTGGATTTGCCTACTATTCTCTAAAGACTGAATCACATTCCGATTCAAGGGTATTAGTAGAAGATAGTTCATAAATGCTCTTAGTATTTCTACGATAGTAGAACAGGAATATGACCCAGTAGAATATAGTACCATAAACCCTAAACCCTAAACCTCAATATAGCAAAATATAGCAGAAGTGCCTGCTTGAATCAAAGGGGACCCGAGGATCTCTGAGTTCTGGCGGGTCTCCGGGGTTCATGTGACTTAAGGGTGTTTAGGGGTTCAGGGGTTTGGGGGTTAGGATTAAGGTTGTAGGGTTTAGGGTTTGGGGTTAGGGATTGGGGATTGGGGTTTTAGGGTTTCGGGGTTTAGGGTTTAGGGGTTTCCTGGGACTATACAAGAAGAACGGGACAAAGCTGCATGCTGAACATGCTGCTGTCTACAAGGCAGGTCGTTCCTGAAACCTGAAGCCCTCCGGTTATGCTATAAATCCTGTACTACCTTAAGGACCTCATAAGCTATGGGAATTATGGTATCTTCCTTATTATGGGTGATGCAGGATTTATATCATCCACTGTGTCTTTTGACATCAACCTGCAGATGTCTTCCGGAGGATTGCAGGGCACATTTGGCTCTCAGCGTTCGGGGCTTCTTGTCTGAGGCTTCAGGCTTGCGGCTAGGGTTTTAGGGTTTAGGCTTTATAGAAATTGCAAAGGGTTTGGGTGCCAATAACGTTTTGACCGAAACGTTTTGGGCAGTTTTTTTTTGGTAACTATATTTTGCAGGGGCTTGGCCGGCAGGGGTTGGGCTGGGGGTTGGGCTGGGCCTCTTGGCTGGGCTGCTGGTGGGCTGGACTGGGCTGGTGTTCTGGCTCGCGGGGCTGGGCTGGCCGCGTTTCAGCAGAGAGGGTAGCGCAAGGCATGGCAGGGCGGGGGGTTGGGGGGGCGCATACTTGCGTGCTATGTAAATGTTGCAGTTTCAACTGCGTGTGGATTCGGCAACCGGCTGCCGGGGCAAGGGGGGGTCGATCGGCTTCTGGCAGAAGTCCTGTCTTCTGTCGTTTGCAAGGAAGGCCAACCTTGGGCGACAAAATGGTCCTGCCCTACACCTCTATCAAAGTTCGGAAGCAAGGAAGGTGCGATGATTGGCAGTGTGGGATCGACGACCTCCGATGGCCATGAAGACTCCTGGAGCCTTGTCCGTCCATATTGGAACGCAAAGAATATAAACATGTGTCACTGCAGCACTGCTCAATGTTTCACAATCGACTGTAGTTGCCGGAATTGCTCTTTCGTGATGCCGTACAGGATTGTCCGATTTCGTGCTGACGTTTTCCGGCTGCGAAAACTCTGCGTGTCGGAGGAGCACGTACGGCGTCAGATCCAGGGGGACGTGGAGGAGCGCAGCCTGAGCCGTGTCTTTCCTCGCCCGACCGTGGCTTTGCATACCCTGACCCTGTGTGTCGACTCCGTTCCGACACCGTTTCGTCTGGCAGGAGCTGATGGAGGAGGCTCGCGAGTTCACTAGGATGACTCTGGTGAACCGGTGCTTCCGGTTGGGGCGTGTGGAACCCCATCCGAACGACCTCACTTTGGTCCAACGCCGAACCACCATTCCGCCGCGAGTGCTCGCCGGTGCTGTCCGAATCACACCGTGCCAGGACGAGGCACCACCTTGGAAAGTATTTTGCGGTGCGGACTAGGCTGAGTTGGAAGCAGGACACAAGAGCATCATTGGCTTGTCGCCTGACATCGTATTGCTCGAGGCGATCCAGGCACATCCAGGGGAAGCTTAATCTGCTCCTGGTGTGAGCTTGGTCTCCAGATGAATGCCCACTTGCCGGGTCAGACTTCGAAGTAGTGTCCTTCTTTAACTAGACGAGTGGAAATAGGCGTAGCTTGCTCGGAGGAAGGGATACAGTACAGTACAGCCACGTGCACTATCGTGAAGCAAGCGGAGCAAACTTAGTAGACCCTTTGTGCAACAAGATGGGTAGGTCGCAGTCTGATACCATGTAGCAGAACATCCGGGGTCTTGTGTCGCATAAAGCGTGTGTAGGGTACCTCGGACGGAAAATGTAGCATACGTGTCGTGTGAGGCCCGACCACGCGGCCACCCTCGTCGCATGCTGCGAACCCGTTCTGACCCCGAGACCCCCTGACATGGGGCCCCAATTCAACCGACCTTCAGCTAAACGAAGCCATCAATGTGCGCAAAACTCTGATTCCGGGATTCACTTCCAGATCAAGTGGTAGTATCCTGTCGATGCTCAGGGCAAGCGCAGGCATCCACAGCCGCGCGTCGAGGGTTTCAGTAGCTTAAGGGGCTCAATGGAAACTTACTCGAAACATGCGAGAGAAAAGGGTCCTCAAAAAGACTACAGCTGCGCGTCGAATCGATGGATGCAAGCCGGGGCATGGCCACTTTACAGGGGGACTCGGTTCAGGGTTGCTGATGCTCCTGTTCAGAGATGCTTGGGTTAGTTTTGTATTTTCTCTCACCTTGTCAGTAGGATCAAGGTCTTCAAGGGTGATGACGAAGCTCCAGGCATCCAAGCCCCAAACCTACATATAGGGGCCTAAATAATTACCTATGCTATTTTGGGGGTTCCTTATTATAACTAGAGTATAACAAATCCCGAAGCCCTGTTCTAATTATTCAGGCGCCTACATTATACGGCCTTGAGGCTTTGGAGGAGCTTCCGTCCTGAAAAAAGCCAACACATCTTGAACCTCCTTCTCAGCCCATGCCAAAGGGTTTAAGGTCTCAGCCCGACGCCCCCAAACCTAACCCGAAGTCCCTAAACCCTAAACCCTCAACCCTCAACCCTAAACCTTGATTCCGGAGCCCGAATGCCAGGGGCATGAGCCTGCTGGGCCTAGCTAGTGGCTCTGGCTGCACCTCTCCAGCCCCTCTCTGCTGTGTTTGGAGCCGTTCAAGGAAGCCTCAAAAGGCACGAATAAGGGTTTAGGGTTTAGGGTTTAGCCGTTAAAGGAAGCCGTTAAAGGTAATATAGGGGCCTAAATAATGACCTAGACAATTCGAGGGGTTTTCTTATTCTAA